GCAAACTAAGGACAGCTAGATCAGGAGTGAACCATAGAAATGAAGATCACATGGAGGGTTAGCAACAGGAGAGTGGAAAGGGGAGAGAGGGGGGAAAAAGTACAGAAAATAAGCAGCATAGACAGTGGGTAGAAAATAGACAGGGGGAGGGAAAGAATAGTATGGGAAATGTAGAAGCTAAAGAACTAATGACACATGTACATGAACTAAAGCGGGGGAATGTGGGTGGGAGGGGGTGTAGGGTGGAGGGGAATGAAAGGGGGAAATGGGACAACTGTAATAGCATAATCAATAAAATATATTTTCAAAAAACCCTACAACCTCACAGATAGAACAGAATGCAGGTTACTGGAGGGGATTGCAGAGGGTCGCACATGAGTGAGGGGAGGAGGCTAGACTTGTGGTGAGCACACAGAGGATAATTAAAAAAAGATATGTAGTAGAAAATAGAGAGGGAAATTCTTAAAACTCACCCTAGTTAACAAATTTAAGTGAATTGATAATTCAAAAGCATTTTTTAAATTCAAGAAGAGTTATAAAAGTGGGTTAGAAGCTAATCTGCATATAAAGGCTTTTTTTGTGGTGCTATTTTAAGAAAAGGGATGAATTAAGTGATCTCTAGAGTTAATTTTGTCATCACAATTCTCAATTGTAAGTACCTCAAAATAAATTACTGTCAACACAAGTATCTTCTTTTTATTTCTTTCATGAAAGGTGATGGTTTGTTGTGACTCACTAAGTCACCAGTAAATCACATTCCCTTGCCTACCACATAAAAAAGAGTTAAGTAAATGAAGCAACCCTCTGTATTTGGCCAGAGGTATGTACTACCTGAACTCTGTAAAAATGTAGGTTTATTCATTACAGGCTGGCTTTCACTGGACATGCATGGGAAAACTAGGCATTACTGTTCTTACAGAAAGGACTACATCAAGAAAACACAAGCTTGGACATACAATGTACTCAGCTATTTTCTTTGTGTTATATTATCTATTTGTTCAAATACTTGGCCAATAACATGTTTGCCAGGAATCAATTTTAACTCTAGATTAATTCAACACGGCCAGTGTAATGTTAAGGAACTGGTGCTAAGTTCATACTGTTCTTCTCTTTCAATTATATGCATGCAAAACACACAAAAGAGATAAAGGAACACACTTAATATTTTAGAAAATCGAGGTGGCTATATCTTCACTAGTGGCAAATTCTCCTTAAACACATAACTAAACCCCTCAATACTGGTACTACATATTTTATAATGTCAATGCTATTGTATTCAGAGCTCTTCATTTGAACATAGCATATAGCAGGTGTTTAGGTTTTATAATACACTGCTTTATAAATGAGTAAGTTCTAAAAGGATTGCTCTAAGGAAGTTTTTTTAAGAAACAACTTGGATAAGTGAACCAAGCAATTATGGTGCAAAGAAACAAATCCTAGCAACTGCAGACATCAATATTTTCCTGCAAAATGCCTATTATATGAAAATTACATGAAGAATGAAAACAGTTTTTCTCTTGTCATAAATGATTCATTATAGTCCCCAATAAAAAGTGTGTTGTCAGACAGAAATTAAGGGCTATACATTAAACTCTCTATATTTTATCTATGCTTTACTCTTTCAGTTAGTATACTGTGCTCACTTTTTAAGCATATTAAATGATTGCATAACACCTTGAAAGAGTTACTAAACCTCCAAATCATGAACAAGTTAATTCTTTCTAGAATAACAGGATATAAAGAATATAGATGGTAATTAATAAATGTATATTTGAATGTATGAACAAGTTGCTAAATAGACCTTTTGTTTTCATCAGCTGCCATACATTTATTCTGCAGCAGGAATAACTTTAAGACATAGCAGATGAAAATATTACAAAGCTTAAAATAAAGAAAGGAATTTGATAATTACTCTGTGTCTTATACTAAGAACAGAATCTTCAGAGTCAGAGGCTGTGTAAGCAAGAGAAAAAGTAACAGTTCTCTGGAGAAAGGCAGAGAAATTCATGCAATAACATAACATTAATTTAATATCCTCTATGTGCTAAGCACTGGACAGGAAGTGTACTGGAGGACCAAACAATCTAAGCAAAGATTTCATATAATGTGTTATGAAGTATAAGTTACCTTTCTTCCCATCACCTCCTACTACACTAGCCAAATCAAAATTCTCATTTCCCTCTGAACACACTATACTCTTCCACGAGTGTCTTTAGATATGATACCTCTTCTGCTTAAATAAATTCTCCCCAACTTTTTTGTTTGGTGAACATCTTATTCATCCTGAAAGTCCCAATGCAAACAAACCCCACATACACTTTCTGAATCCCTCTGTAGTGTTTATCATTTCCTTATGCACTCGCCTGGGATTATCTTTAAATCAAATTATCTTTTTTCTTGTGTTCAAAATTCAAGAATATTTTATTATTTCTCCAAGTAAATGAAGTGACATTTTACAGCTTCTTTTATTGTTGACACTATTACATATGTGGCGAGTTGGGAGAACTGGATAAAAGCACATAAAGAGATTAGCCAAAGAACATATATGCCTAGCCCTTGGGCACAGGCAGTGGTGTGGTGAAAGCCATGGGAGGAGGGTGGAGATGGGCAAGGGTGGGTGGAATCTATATTATTTTAATGACTACTGTCTCCTTTATTAGACTGCATACATCTTGAGAGCACAGACTATGCCTTTTTCATCTTTGTATTCCCTTTGGTAGCACTGTTTTAATATGAATATGTAAAAGTTGAAAGAATAAATAAATACAGTAAATGTAAAGAAAACGACATAGGCCAATAGAGACATTACAGTATCAAAGAGACAAGACATGGTTCCCCATTCCTAATAGCAGAACTTCTGGTCTAGTCACCTGAGCTTGTTGATGAGGGATCTCACCTCCTCATTTTATAATGGAATAGAGAAATAAATCAGAATTCACAGCTCAGTAATTTAATTTATATTCACTGGAAAACATCTGTTGCATAAACTGGAAGATATCTGCACTTTGAAATTGCTAATGTATAACCACTAGGAAGCAGTGAAAAGGAAGTTTAATATTTGATCTCTCTGGGGAATGTGAGCAATTTATTGCTAAATAAACACAAAAGAATGAATTTAATGTTTTGATTTATTTTTTTTCTGCGTTAACTTCCAGAACAGCTCAACCACATAATGAAGTTTTCCCAGAAAATGATGTAACACTACAGTGCTTAAACCACAACTGCAGAACGATTAAAACTCAGCATGTGAAGGGATCTGCCATAGCTCCATGGCTCAAACATCAAAATGGTCTAGACATATGTCTTTGATGTCATCCTTTTAAGTAAGTTTAGGTCAGCAGAGCTTGTTCATGGGCCAAACTCCAAAGCCTACAGGTCCAGACTCTTTGTAGAGTCTGGAATCACCAATCTTTCCTTATTTAAACTGGCCATGTAGGAGTCTAGCGCTTGCGTGGTTCGTCTATGTGGAGCACTGCTTATGAGACATACACCCTGGACTTCAAACTCTGACACACCTAACTATTGATGTTATAGAAGATGTGGCAAATAGGACTGCTAGATTAGTTGCTATTTTCCAAGATGTTTCTATTGCACCTTCATTGACATTCTGACTCAGTTTTGGAGAGTAGTATGCAAAACACTGTGGACCTTTAACTTACCCCAAGTACTGGTTTATTTTGGGCATGATTTCTGTGACTTCATTCATATAAGGGATAGAGTATACATGTGTGTTCTGGTCAGAATTTACTTCTCTTATCTCAGGAATAGGGAAATAAAATGATCCCCAAACTAGTATGTGAAAAATGTTATTGAGTCTCTTTCATTACCACTTTCAAAAAAAATTTATTCAGCATCCATTCTTGGTAGGCATTTGTACTACACACTGGGTGTTCAATAAGTCACTTTTCCCACATAGTTTATAGTCTAGTGAAAGGAATAGATATTAAACTGATAAACATACACATAAATATATAATTACAAGATGAAATAGGGTTAAAAAAGAGATTAACAATAGGGGGTTAATTTTAGATCAGACAAGGGTGAGGGAGTGATCAGGAAATATCTGAGGAAATGACAAAGTAAAACTGAAATATTTGTGTGAGAAGTGCTATTCAACCAATATGGTATCAGATTCTACTCTTAGAAACTGCTTTCAGACAGGTCTTTTTTTTCTTGCTTATTCTATTAGCTTTTTGTTAAATTTGATGACATCACTGATATTCCTTAATGAAAACAATACCATTAGTTTTGCCACAACTCTTTTATAGTTGTCTTCACTCTACTGTGACTACTCTATAAGCAGTGTCTGCAGCCTTCTCTTCTTCCTACTCAGCTCGAGTGTCAAGCCTTGTCTTTTTTTTTATATTCTGCAGGATCTCTTTGGATGATCTCTTCTCTATCGATTCAATCCCCATATCCTTGATACTCCAAAATCTATAGCTTCAGCAACTTCTGAAGTACAAATTCATTGATTTATCTTGTCTAATTAGGCATTGCTCTTTCAACATACAAAAGTAATCATACAAGGTGCAATATTCATTGGATGTACACATAAAGAACATATAAATAATTTAATTATTTTAAGAGTGATTTTTCTAAAATAGGATGGTTATTTATGATCCTAAACCAAAAATTTTATAAGGGAATTGATTTTATAATTGATTATGTGCAACTGGATATCCTAAATGCAGCTATGAAAATTCCTTTGGTGACCTCCAACTTAATTTTTTCAAGTAGCTAAATATAATGTCACAAATTATAAATCTCTTTAATTCGTATAATCTCTTTGGCACTGTATAATATAGCAAATTCAATGAAGGAGGAAAATATCACATAAAGTTGGTTGAGAATTAGGGTTTTTTTCTACTTGCATTTAAATTAGTTTTAAGAAGAGAAGGAAAGAAGGAAGGAAACAAAAAGAGAAGAAATAAAAAAATTAAAAGGGAGAAAAAAACAAGAAAAAAAAGAAGTTTCCCTTCCTGCCAGTTTTAGGTACTTACCAGTGCACACAGAAGGTCAACTGCTTCCAAGATCAGTTCCTGATGGCCAATGCGGCTGACCCCCAGATCTTCCAGCTCCTGATGTGTAATGCGCAGCAGCTGGTCCCCACTGATCTTCTCCCTCTCAAAGTTCTTAATATACTGCTGCAAACAGTCATCAAGACCTACAAAAGAAAAATATGGAAGACCAGAATAAAAGAAAAGTTGAACCAAACAAAAAGAAAAAATAAAACAAGAAAAGCATCGCACACAAGAATAAATTCAAAACGGATCGAAAACTTAAATGTTGGGCCCAAAACTATAAAAATTCTAAAAGAAAACATAGACAGTATAATCTTGAATATTGCCTGTAGAAATTTTTTATCAGATATATTTCCTCCAGACAAGGGAAACAAAAGAAAAATAAACAAATGGGACTACATCAAACTAAAATGTTTTTGCACAGCAAAGGAAATCATCAACAGAATAAAAACACAACCCACAGAATGGGGGAACATATCTACCAATACATCTGATAAGGGGTTAATATCCAAAATTTATAAAGTACTTACAAAACTCAACACTAAAAACAAACAACCAATTAGAAAATTGGCAAAGGACCTGAATAGACAGTTCTCCAAGGAGGACATACAGGTGGCCAGTAGACATATGAAAAGATGCCCAATGTCACTAATCATCAGGGCAATGTAAATTAAAATCACTATGAGATATTACTCATACCTGTCATAATGGCTACAATTAAATAAATCAACAAACAAAAAGTGCTGGTGAGGATGTGTAGAAAGGGGAACCCTTTTGCCTTGTTGGTGGGAATGCAGACTGGTGCAGACATTGTGGAAAGCAATATGGAAATACTTCAAAAAATTAAAAATGGATCTGCCTTTTGACTCAGTGATCCCACTTCTGGGAATATGTCCTAAGGAACCCAAAACACTAATTTGAAAGAACATAAGCATCCCTATGTACATTGAAGTGTTATTTATAATTGCCAAGATATGGAAGCAGTACAAGTGTCCACCAGTAGATGAGTGAATGAAACAACTATGGGACATTTACACAGTGGAATTCTACTTGGCCATTAAAAAAGAAAAAAGAAAAATTTACCCTTTGCAACGGTATGAATGGACATGGAGGACATCATGCTAAGTGAAATAAGCCAGTCAGAGAAAGATAAATATCATATGATTTCACTCATATGTGGAATCTAGTGAACTGAACTAATAAGCAAAATGGAGACAGACTCATAGATGGAGAGCAGATGGCAGCTAGTGTAGGGGGGAAATTAGCAGGTGGAGGGGTTGAGCAAAAAGGACAAAGGACTCATGGACACAGACGAGAGTGTGGTAATTGCTAGAGGGAGAGGAGAATAGCGGGACTAATTGGTAATGGGAAAAATACAATAAATATTAAACTTAAAAAAGTAAACATAACAAGTAAATTTTGATCCATACTCTAAACGTCACAAATTTACCATGAAAAAAATTGTGCACTTGTGCTTTATTTATTGTGCACTATATATTTTTTAAATTTTTATTTAGTTATTTTTCAAGTGCAGTTTTCTGTTTATTTTATTTAATTGATAACATTAAATAAAGTATACACTATTTTATCTAAGACTGTGTATTAAAACAGTAGAAAAGGATTGAAATCATTACGACAACATGTCTCTGACTTTTTCAGTAAATTATACTGCTTTCTACCATCTGCAAAAATGAGGAATGAACCAAAAATCATGGATCTAAAAAGAGTTTCTAAAAATAATGAAACATTTACAAAATGATGACATTTGTGAGATATTCTAAGGATGCACAAATTTTCAGGATATCAATGATACTACAGAAGAAAGATGAAATAAAATGAATAAATACACTGTCATGTGGGAGATATAGAATATGCAAATTATTATATTTAATGTTCAAAATCTTAAAATCCTTCCCTTACTGGTGTGGCTTATTGGGTTGAGCATTGTCCGGCAAACAAAAGTTGCTGGTTCAATTCCAGGTCAGGGAACATGCCTGAGTTGCAGACCAGGTCCCCGACCAGGTTGGGGGCGTGCAGGAGGCAAGGGATCAATGTTTCTCTCACACATTGATGTTTCTCTCCCTCTCCTTTCTTTCTTCCTACTCTATAAAATAGAAGTGAATAAAATCTTTTAAACAAATCTTAAAAACCTACTTAAAATGGGTGTTAGAGGATGTGTATTGATACTCCAGGAAATTTTACTTTATACATCATTCTGTACATAACACATGTACTCTTATCTAAAAATAGAACACCCTAATATACACCCTAATAGTAAAAACATAAAAATCTTAATTCATTCATTAGAGGTCTGTTGCCATCACTATTTACTGTAAAGAACAAAGATCGGCATATGTGAATTTGTGAGTACTTGTGTCCCTTCTGCAAGATAAGGTTAGGAAATTGAAACAAACATGCATCAATCCAATATCCTTTTGCTTCCTCAAATACAGGAATAATTCAAGGCAAAAGATCTTACATTTAAGCTAGTTTTCAGTCCCTTTTTTCACTGACACCGCTTTTTTTTCCAAATCATTAATGACCAATAACACCATATTTAACTGCCTCATTTCCAACCTCATTCTCCCTAAGAAGGGAGAATTCTCCCTAATTCCCCCTAATTTATTTCTCAATTTGTACCACTGGGTTTTTTTTTTTTTTTTTGCAGTCTCAGAACCATCTCGAATGACTCCCTAATTTAATCTCTTATCTTGTCAGTTAGTGAGAAACATTTCCTCATTCAAAATAGCTCTTGCTTTGCCCTTTCATTTCTGATCTCACTGTCACCAGCTTAGTCATGCTGTACAGTCTGCTGTGATGCCTACGTGCTCCTCCTGACATGAGTCTGCCCAGTCTATCACTGTCACATCTCTAAGTATGCTCTTTGATTGAGTCACTTCCTGATTCAAAAACTTCAATGACTCCTCCTGCCAAAATGTTAAAATTCAAAAATCTTTATTTTTTTTTAACTTTTAAGGCTTTTTTTGTGTGTGTGTGGGCAGGGAGGGAGTCTTGTATTTCAGTGTCAAGTAGCATTCAGGTATTAATTGTGACATCTACTATAGACAATAAAGCATTTTCTATAATAAAAACAACCAGAAGGCATATATAACCATGCTTTTCTTATATACATAGGAGAATGTATGATAAATAATCTAGCAAAGGCAATTTGTATTTAAGATCTAGTGGTACTTCCTAAACCATTTAAAAATGATAAAATTCAGTAGCATTTCAACAATAGGTAAATTTTACTGTATTCTAATTATTGGAAAATGGGCTGACCCATGTAAATGTACAGGCTATTTAGATACCCAGAATATTAATAAATCAAATTCCTGAATAATTTGAGAAAAATTATATTGTGCTATAGAACCTATGTAGTTAAAATTTTCTTTAACAATTCCCACATAGTTTTGGGATGATATAGCCATATAAACTCTTGATTTAATTCAGACAAGAGTTAGCCATCACTCTGCTTTTTACTATACTCAGCTTTACATTTTGTTGAACCAAAAAAAAGTTTTCTTCAAACTATCTATGTCACTAGACAATTCTAAATTCTAATAAAAACAGACAATATCTGGTTTAACAAGTGAGATATAATGTGAAAAAAGAACAACAGTTAAGGGGAAAAAGGGGGAGGGATTTGGAGGAACAAATAGGAAGGACACAGGGATGAGAACTAAGGGGGGTGGAAATGAGAGGGAGGTGGGGAGCAAGGGGCGGGGGAGGCTGGGATGGGAAAAATAGACAAAAAACTGTACTTGAAGAATAGCATGGGAAATATAGAATCTAAAGGACTTGAGACACATGGTCATAAACTAATGGGGGGTAATGGTGGGGATGGGGGGTAGGGTGGAGGGGAATGAAGGGGGGAATAGAACAACTGTAACAGCATAATCAATAAAAAAATTTAAAAAAAGAAAATTCATAAATTAAATGGTATTATGCAATAAAAAAACAACAAACTGTGGGGCATCCATACTATGGAATACTATTTAGCAATAAAAAGGAACTATAGATATATACAAAAACTTGGATAGATCTCAAAGGTGCTATGCTGAGAGAAAATGGCCAATATGAAAGAAGCTATACTGAATGATTCATTTATACTACATATTGAAAAAGGCAAAACAATACCAACAGAAAACAGATCACTAGTTACCCGGGACTAGGAATATAAAGAGGTTGTGACTATAAACAAGCAGGAGGGAATTTTGGGGGTAATGAAACTGTTTTGTACCCCAACTGTGGTGTTGGTTACATAAATCTAAACATATATTGAAACTCATAAAACTGTTAACATCTAAAAAGTCAATTTTATTCCATTAAAATAAAGAATAAAATTTTAAAAATTACAAATGAATTATAGGTTATATAACACTTGGAAAATACTATTAAACTAAAAATTTCCTTCTGAAATTATTTTATCATAGTGTTTGACATAAAGGACCCAGAGGTCAGGGAAAATTAGTTTACAGCATTCCATTCAGAAACTCTTTATTAAGTACCTATTAAGTTTGGGGCTATGTGCACTAATGCATTTAACTACTTTTGAAAAGACTCCTTCACCCTGCTGATTGGCAAAGCTCAGAGGCTATAAACAGAATTCTATCCGAGAAAGTATTTATGATGTAGAGTGAGCAGATTGGTGCATGCAGTAGGAAACCGATTACAGCCCTGTGGCCTCCAGAAGATTTACTGGAAGGCCAAGCCCTACTATACCTATCATTACCATTTCTACTAGTTTCAGATCTAATTTTTTTCTCTAACAATTTAATGTTGCCTTTAAGACAGAGAAAAAGAAAAACCTTGTTCCACTTTGCAAAACAATTCAGCCTCCCTACAATCTGTTACTGGTTCTATGTTTTAAACCAGAGTAAATTTTATCTGGTTTAAAATTCCACTCTCCTATTAAATGACCAAAAGAAAACAAATGTAAGAAGGAAAATTATATCAGCACTGAAACTAGGAGACAGTGCCAACCACAGAGCAGATAACATTCAATGTTAAAAAGTAAAAAAAGTACCAGAGAGAACTGTGTTCCGTATCAAAACAAAGCCAGAAACAGTAAAGAAAAAGACAGACAGATTTGTCTACATAAAATTAAGTGTTCGTTATGACATATCAAATCAGAATATTC